CCCCAAAACCCCAAAACCCCAAAACCCCTGAAGGTGGTTTGATAAACAATTGATTTACTCAAAACATGTTTTATCTGAAATCAAATTATAATTATAATGGAGTAAAATATTGATCATAAAGTAGTTATACCAACAAATATATAGCAAATTACTCCTTATTACAATAGAGCTGATGAATTATTTTAGGGATTAGTTCTTGGATTAATTTTCATGATTCTTCATTAGTTATTTATTCTCTTTAAAGAACACCAAAAGAATTCCAGTAAGCGTCCTGTCATAAAATAAGTAAAACTGATCTAACCTGCACAAGAGATGTAATCATAGTAACTTGTAAAATAGAATACAGAGAAAAAAGAAACCTAGTAAAATTTAGAATAAGTATTAGAATCCAAGAATATTGAATCTAATCTAAATTCCTAGAAAATATCTTAAAGTCCTAGACCAAACCCAGTTAAAAAACTTTCAAAAAGAGAAAAGATAAGGTAGGAGCTGGTAGAACAGATAAAATAGATATTTGAGACAAGAACAACAGCTACAGTTATTGGAGACTATAAGGATAAAAATATGGTACTTAGAAAAAGAATTATTGATGAAGATGGACCTTAGTAAATTACTATAGAGCAAGAGGTAATAGGAGTCACTCCTTACTAATATATCCAAACAATGAGAGAAATTACAAAGACATAAGTAGAGTGGAATCAGCATTTGAAATCATGTGAACTATTCAAGAAGGACGGCGATTTTGACATTGTTATATCATTTTTCAAGTCACCAGCTCTCTTTGTTGCAGCAAGAATTGTAATGGATGCTGCATATTACATCGATTATCCAGAGAAAAATGAATATATGTGCTTGTTTTCTAGTAAGGGTAATGATGATTACTGGGAGGAGTATCTCTAATATAATGACATCGGCGATTATGTAAGAGCATTTGCTCATATTTCTGGCCATTGGTTCAGACCATTATACAGTCCTTAAAATGAAAAAGAGGTTATTGGAACTTAAGTTTTCTATGTAAATTAGGCTGATTTTGGGGGTGAAATTCCAGCTTGGATTAAAAATACTATGGCTCCAAGAGCAATGGTCGAAGGATGGGAGGCACTCTCAGCATTTAGCAAAAAGAACCCTAAATAATGATTTGATTTTAATTTCATAACTAGCTCCCATAATAACTTCTAGGATATAAGGGGTTTTGGGGTTTTGGGGTTTTGGGG